TCCACCTTGGTATGGGTGGTGGTTCTATGGAGGGATAAATACATAATTAACAGATTATTAAAATATAAAAAAGAAAACTGTACTTATATCCTCTAAATCTATAAAAATGTAATAAGTAAGTTAAAGAAGCTAACCTGGGCTGAGTAAGTTGGCTTATATGTATAATCCCAGTACTTTGGGAGGCCAACGTGGGAGAACTGCTTGAGGCTAGGAGTTCAAGACCAGCCTGGGCAACATAATGAGGCCTCATCTCCAAGAAAAACAAAACTCAGCCGGTGCTAGAGATATTTATAGCTAGAGTCAGTCTTGTTTCTAGGTTTTCAATGAACAGATTCAGGACATAAATATGTAGCCATATGCATTTATAAATAAATGTTGTGATATAATTATATGTTTTATATGATGTATGACAAAATATCAAATATACACTTAAAGCTAAAATATCTTATGAAAACATACTGAACTTTTAATTCAAATTCAGGATAACAGGGATTTTAGTTACCCTCTTTTATAATTATATCTGCATCTTCTTTAATACTGAAAGTCCTGGTTCTCAGGGATATGGAATGATAGAATATTTATTTGCTTCATCCCACCAATATGATTACCAAGAGCAGACAAAACTTTGCGTGCATATCATCTCATCCGCCCTGCCCTCCTTTACATAATTGTGCTCTGTCCACATTGGCAGAGTATGTATCCACTATATACTATAGCTTTCCCATTTAACCTGCATAAACTCCTATTTTTGGACTTAGCTTTGCAAGTCATTACATATTAAACGCCCCCTACTAGTTCATATGTCAATCATTTTGGTTGTCTAGAAGCTTGTTCTCTAGATGATTCTTTAAAAGGTGTTCATAGGGGCCAGGCGTGATGGTTCACGCCTGTAATCCCAGCACTTTGGGAGGCTGAGGCAGGTGGATCCCAAGGTCAGGAATTGAAGACCAGCCTACTGAAACCCCATCTCTACTAAAAATACAAAAAATTAGCTGAGAGTGGTGGCACTCACCTGTAATCCCAGCTACTCGGGAGACTGATGTAGAGAATTGCTTAAACCTGGGAGGTGAAGGTTATAGTGAGCCAAGATTGCACCACTGCACTCCAACCTTGGTGACAGAGCGAGACTCCCTCTCAAAAAAAAAAAAAAAAAAAAAAAGCATTCACAGTAACAGTATGTCTTATGTTCACTGTATGTTGATAACAGTCTGTGCCCTTTATATTTGAAAACTGGTTTTGGTGAAGTCTATATCCTTGGCTCACATGATCTTAAAGTATCTTAAATATATGTTACTCCAAAAAAAAATTTTTGGTATGGTATAAAGCCTTGCTGCAGGTCTAATGACACTCGAATTTTTAGTTACTTGCTCTTTTAGCCTAGATGCCCAAAACATATGCTTTTTCCTTAAACTCAGTAATTTTATCAGAATATATCCTGGTGTTGGTTTTTTTTACATTGACATTCTCAGGTATACTGTGTGTTTCTCAGGTATGCTGTGTGTTCTTTCAGTGGGTAGTTTGAATTTTTTTTTTAATTTAGGAAAGTTTCCTTGAATTACCATTTTTAGTATTTGTTCTAATCCTGTGCACTGATTTTTTTCAGGTCTATTTCTCTGTATGTTGCTTATCTGTCACTCTCCCTTGAATCTTTAAAAAAAAATGGTTTTCTTTTTTTAAAAATGTCAAAGTATAATCTACATACAATAAAATTCACTCTGTTTTATGATTCCTTTACAAATGCATAGCTATGTAACCACCACAATTAAAACAGGTAGTAGTTTTGGCACCTCCAAAAATCTTCCCTGTACATATAATTTGGCGTTAAAACCATAAGGAAAGACAAGAAACTACTATAGATGTCAGGATAATGGTTAATTTTGGGAGCAGGGTGGGGGCTGTGACTGGCAGTGGCATATGGAGAAGGCTCTGGGTAAACCTGAACAAGTTCTAATTTTTGACCTGGGTAGTGATTACAAGGCTTTTGGCCTTATAATAATTCATTAATAGGAAGTACAAGGTTCCATTCTACAAACCTATTCAACCAATAGTTTAACCTCTGTAAAGATAAATGGTAAAGATGATTAACTGTTAAAAAGGCATCTTTTGGTTGGACACAGTGGTTCCTGCCTGTAATCCCAGCACTCTGAGAGGCTGAGGCGGCAGGACTGCTTAAAGCCAGGAGTTCAAGACCAGCCTGGGCAACAAAGCAAGACCCCCATCTCTAAGGAAGATTTTTTAAATATTAGGCAGGTATGGTGGCATGCATCTGTAGTCCCAGCTACTCAGGAGAGTGAGGTGCGAGGATCGCATGAGCCCAGGAATTCAACGATACAGTAAACTATGTATAATCATGCCACTGCACTCCAGCCTGGGGAACAGAGCAAGACCTCATCCCTAAATATAACAATAGTAATAAATTAAGAAAGGTTACTTTAGAGGAGTCTCCCCTCTTCCTTCTTATGTTGTTATTATGGTGAGTTTTATACATACATATATACATATATATATGTTTTCATCCACAGTTCATGGCTCCTAACTCCCATAGTCTTTGTTATAATGTTGGAGTGCTTAAGGCTTCAGGAAACAGGATCTCTCTCTGACCTTCTCCTGTCCTTCTTTCAACTGCCCAAGGCAGGACTCTAATCTGACTGTGGGTCAAAAGACCCTCATCCCAGACAGAGTCCTGCCCCATACCCTAGAGGAAGGAATGCTACAGAGAGCCCAAGAAAAGTCTGAGCAGATGTGCCTTGCTTGTCCAATGATCACATTGCTACACAGTTGTCAGCCATACCTATGCAATGAGTTCTCCATAAAAACCCAAAAGAACAGGGTTCAGAGAGCTTCTAGATAGCTGAACACATAAGGTTTCTCCTTAAGGGTGGTGTGTCCAGGGAGGGCATGGATGCTGCACTCCTTCCCCTACACCTTGCCCTATGCATCTTTTCATCTGTATCCTTTGTAACATCATCCTTTATAATAAACTGGTAAATGTAAGTAGATGTTTCTCTGAGTTATGTGAACCACTCCAGTAAATTAATTGAACCTAAATAGGGGGTTGTGGGAACCCCAACTTGAAGCTGGTCAAAGTTCTAGAGGCCCAGACATGGGTCTGGTGACTCAAGTGGGAGAGGGAAATCTTGGGGACTGAGTCCAGACTATGGGATCCAATGCTACCTCCTGGCAAATAGCGTTGGAATTGAATTGGAGGGCACCTGACTGGTGTCTGCTGCTTGGTGTGTGGGGAAAAGAAACCCACACCTTTGGTCACAGAAGTCTTCTTTTGTGTTGATGATTGTTGTGATGGTGTGAGAATAAAGAAAAAACGTAGTTTTTCCCTATACATGTATACAGGACTTCCTCCCAAAGTTCAGGGTAAGCAGAGAACAGTGACTCAAAATCACCAAGGAGTTCACAGCATGTGGTGGAAGGAGAAGAGGATGGAGGAGAATCTCCTTAGCCTCAGAGGTGTGTATCAATGACCTAACTGAGTGCTTTCTAGCGTATTTCAATGCTTTAAGAAAGGGGAAACTTCCTTTTAAGCAAAGGAATCGTAATTCAAAAACAAAAATTGTAATTCACTGCTAATAAGGGCTGAAAAAACGAGAGACAAATATAGTTAAATGCCAATCCTGTAAAATTTAAAAGGGAAAAAATAGGAGTGGTAATTGCCTGTGCTTTGAGAATAACTACAAAACAAAAGTGCATATTTCTCTTTGAGCTCCCCTGGCACAGAAAACCAAATCTGACAGGAGAGGAAAGAGAGAAGTTTTACTGTCCATGACCATACCTACTTACTGAGCTGAACTTGGTTTAGCAAAGTCCAGCATTCTAGAAATCAGAAGAGGGAAAACAGGAGAGACCCATGTGTGTACCGACCCCTACTATGGCTGCAAAGGCAGGCATTTAAGTTTATTCTATAGATTAACCAGAAATTTTGAGCTCAGGAAGGAAGAATGCTATGATCATTATTTCCTTTTTGCTTCCTGTTATAGCACTTTTATACCTAGACTTGTTATGTTTTGTCTATTAGTTATTTATACTTGCACACTCCCTTCTTCTCACTCCCTAATATCATAACCTCCATAAAAAGAGGGACTTTTATATATCTTCCATGCACGTGGGCCAGGACCAGGTAAAATGTTTTACACACAGCATATGCTGAGTATGCCTGCTGCATTCAACTTTTAAAAATCAAGGGCAGTCAGGTCAAAGAAGAGAAAATTTGTTCTGTACTATTTCAGAAGGCAAAAATCAGAAAGGAAAGTAAGGGGGAGCATATGAGGCCAACAGTAACACAAAACTTCATTAGCACTGGTTGCCCTGAGAAGTAATGACCTTTCACCATCTTTGAAATATTTTAAGAGGCTGTGTGCCCACTGGCAGAGATGCTGAGGAAAGGATATCCTTCACATTTGAAGGCTCATGTATTTCTTTAAATATGTCCAAATTGCATTAAAAGGGAAAGGGAAATTTGACATCTGCTTCAAACTCCTAAGATTATGTGTTTCTAAATAAGGCTGTCCTCAGTGACTCAGACTGAGAAGTCAATGAAGAAAATAAGGAGAAACAAATCTACCCCAAAACCTATACAGGTCAGCCATTCGAACCCCACTAGAAATCTATCATTTGATAATCCAAAAGCTCATTCCTACTTTATCAGAGAATCAAATACCAGAACAAATAGTTGACTGGGCACTAGCATTTTACGTGTGTTATTTTCATTTCATCCTTGTTATTTTACATTTATATATTTTGTAAGAGGACGCTAATACTGAGAAAATATGCAATGAATGGGTTTTGAACTTTTGACTCAAATCATATTCTTTTCATTGAACCTTCCCGCGTCTAAGGTAAGTTACTAAAATACAATCATTTATAAATGTACTACATTTGTAAAATATAATCATTGTTTGTTTTGTGTATTGGCATTAGAAATCTCACTATCTCACGTTACTACCATATCTTAATTTCCATACTAAATTCATGCCTCCATGTCTTACCACTTATTTCAAGCTCTGCCCAATGGGATTTCTTTCCATTTGCTGCTTCCTCAGAAGACATAATTGTATACATCCTCCGAGGGTCAGGGGGCTCGTATTTTTCTTTGGGCATGCCTGTTAAAAAAAGAAACCAATCAGCATTCTAAAAAATCAAATAAACAAAAGCCACAACATCTCTTTTTTTTTTGAGACAGAATCTCACTCTATTGCCCAGGCTAGAGTGCACTGGCGTGATCTCGGCTCACTGCAACTTCTTCAAGCGATTCTTCTGCCTCAGCCTCCCAAGTAGCCGGGACGACAGGTGCATGCCACCATGCCCAGCTAATTTTTTATATTTTAGTAGAAACAGGGTTTCACCATGTTGACCAGGATGGTCTCAATCTCCTGACCTCGTGATCCGCCTGCCTCAGCCTCCCAAAGCGCTGGGATTACAGACCTGAGCCACCACGACCAGCCCACACCACCTTTTAAAAGTGGACACTCATATTATAATCTCTACCATCTTCCACTAAAAGACCTTCTTGCAGAAATTGATTATTTCAAGTGTAGGACAAGACAGATACAAACAAGCTGAGAAGCTAACAAGGGTGCAGCTATGGCAGACACGGGCCAGCTTAAAGAAGCTTCCACTGGCTAAATATGAGACAATCTGAACATCACAAAATGACTGCAACTGAGTCATTATGAATTTCATGAATTCATAATTTTATTTGAAAACCAAAAAACTTAGTCACCTGAAAATTAGAAAATAAAAGAATCGGCCAGGCACAGTGGCTCATGCCTTTAATGCCAGCACTTTAGGTGGCCAAGGCGTGTGGATCACGAGGTCAAGAGATGGGAGACCATCCTGGTCAACATGGTGAAACCCTGTTTTTACTAAAAATACAAAAATTAGCTGGGCATGGTGGCGCATGCCTGTAGTCCCAGCTACTCGGGAGGCTGAGGCAGGAGAATTGCTTGAACCCAGGAGGCGGAGGCTGCAATGAGCCGAGATCGCACCATTGCACTCCAGCCTCGGTAACAAGAGCAAAACTCTGTCTCAAAAAAGAAAAGAAAAGGAAAGAATCAAACAACTATCCTGCATTTCTGGCAGAAACTAGGTGAGTGATTGTTTTTAACAGAATTCTAGCTAATAAATGCAAAAAGTTACATAATTAGAAAATAATCAGTTTACAATCTCTAATAAAATAATGGATCTAGGCAATGATTATCAATAGTTAATAAAACCATTAAGTGGAAAAAAAATCAGTGGAAAAATTTCAAATGGATAGATCAGGTTAAAACAGCAGTTCCCTACACTTCTGGCCCCATGGACCAGTTTTGTGAAGACAATTTTCCACGGATTTGGTGAGGTGGGATAGTTTCAGGATGAAACTGTACGACTTCAGATCATCATGCATTAGTTAGATCGCATCACAAGGAGCACATAACCTAGATCCATCGCATATGCAGTTAACAAAGGGGTTTGTGCTCCTATGAGAATCTAATGCTGCTGCTGATCTGATGACATGAGACGGAACTCAGGCAGTAATGATTGCTCACCTGCCACTCACTCCTGCTGTGCAGCCCAGTTCCTAACAGGCCATGGACAAGTACCAGGGTTGAGAACCTCTGAGCTAGAAGACCTAAATCCAATGATCAGTCTCATCATTAGGACAACCAAACATCACGTGCCTTCCAATAAGACACTATGAGAAGTACACATAAATCACCTATGTCCATGACCTATCACCAACAAAGTTAAAAACTGAACCTGAATCAAATCAAGCCTCTCCAGATCTGATACTAGTTTACAGAAAGTAAGGGATCTAGAGGAACATGTTTAAAGTAATACCACAGGACACAACCATGTGAATATACTTTATACTACCGAATGGTACATATTTGGTTATGATAGCAACTATCAATTTTACCACAATTAAAAATTTTTTCAATTAAAAAAAAATACATGAAAACAGCCAGATACAGAATATACAAGTTAAATGACAAAAGACCAAATTTCTTGAACGAATCAATGGTCTGAAAAAGAGGATTAAGATGAAACATATCGAATAAATGACAAGAGGCACAGCAATCAAAGGCAATGTACAGACCTTGTTTAGTCCCAAATTGACCAAACCTGGGTTTTCTGATTTTGAAAATCAGAGAAAACTGAAAGTAGTTTGACTAAATATTAGTTAATATTAAAGAAGTATTGTGATTCAAGCACAGTGGCTCATGGCTGTAATCCTAGCACTCATGTGAGGCTTGAGCCCGGGAGTTTATGAGACCGGCACCAGCCTGGGCCCCATCTCTTACCAAAAAAAATTTAAAATTAGCCAAGCATGGTTGTATACACCTGTAGTCCAGCAACTCAGGAGGCTGCGGTAGGAGGACTGCTTCAGCCCAGGAGGTTCAGGTTGCAGTAAGATGTATGTGCCTGCACTCCAGCCTGGCCAACAGTGAACCCTGTCTCAAAAAAAAAAAGCATTATGGTTGCACGTGATTTTTTTTTTGAGACAAAGTTTTGCTCTGTTGCCAGGCTGGAGTGCAGTGGTGCAATCTCAGCTCACTGCAACCTCCGCCTCCTGGGTTCAGGAGATTCCCCTACCTAAGCCTCCCGAGTAGCTGGGACTACAGGCACGCACCACCACATCTGGCTAACTTTTTGTGTTTTAGTAGAGACGGGGTTTCACCATCTTGGCCAGGATAGTCTCAATCTCCTGACCTCACGATCCACCTGCCTTGGCCTCCCAAAGTGCTGGGATAACAGGCATGAGCCACCATGCCCAGCCTGTGTGTGATTTTTTAAAATCCTTGTCCATAATAGATGATACATTCTAAAATATTTAGGTGAAATAAAACATCACTCCCATGCATATTCCCTCAAAGCCCTTGTTCCTGTCTCGCTTTTATTCTTTTGGCTAAAACATAATCCTGATCTAACCAATTGTCCACCTACTCTGTATACCCATGCAGCTAACACAGCTGGAGAAAAACCTATGACCACGTGAGCCTAAAGTGTGCCAGTCAGCAATAATTCCTCACACTCTATATACTGCCCAGAAATAATACTGTAAATTCCTAGTCTATCCCCTTCTCCTACATGACTTTTGTCTTCAAACCTCCAACACCTACTCCTCCAACCTCCTTCTAAGCTGATGACCTTACTTCTATTTTCAAAATGAAACAGAAGGGCCCTTTCTACAGACTCCCACCTATACCAATCTATCCCTTCCCTTAACACGTAAGCCATTTGTGCACGTCTATCCACCCCATCATTCTGCCTATTCAAGGACATTACTCTGGCAATCCCTTCCCTCTTCTCATAACATTATGCCACCCTACTGAATCTTTACTTTCAGCACACATATATGTGATATTCTTTCCTCTATTTAAAAAAATGTCTTAACTTCATTTCTCACTCCAGCTACTTCCCTTCTCTCATTCTCTCTATAGCAAAAACAATCCTCAGGAGTGGTCTATGTTCTCTTCTATTCTCCTCCTCCCAGTTAAACCCATTCAAATGAGTACGTGTTTTTAACATTTCACCAAAAACTATCAAGAAGAAACCCAGTAGCCAGGCACAATGGCTTACGCCTATAACTCCAATGCTTTGAGATGCTGAGGGGGGAATATCACTTGAGCCTAGGAGTTCAAAGCTGCAGTGAGCCATGATCACGCCACTGCACTCCAATCTGGTAAACAAAGCATGACCCTGTCTCTAACAAATTTCTTTTTTAAAAAAAGAAACCCAGTGATCTTATATTCTTATTTCCAATGGTCATTTCTCTGACCTCTTTTTGCTTATGATCAGCATTTGATATAGATGATCATTCCCTCTTTGAAACACACTGCTCGGTTCCCAGGAGAACTGTTTTCTTGATTTTCCTCCTATCTCTCTAGATTTAGTTCTTTTGCTAGTTCTTCCTGCAGAGTTGCAATTATCTCCATTTTACCAGAAAACAAGCTCAAAAACGTTTAAGCAATTTGCCCAGTGTTACAAGGCTAGGAAATAGCAAGAGTCAGGCTTTGAACGAGTCTGACTAAAAGTTAAAGCTAATGGTCGGGCGTGGTGGCTCACGCCTGTAATCCTAGCACTTTGGGAGGCCGAGGAGAGCAGATCACAAAGTCAAGAGATTGAGACCATCCTGGCCAACATGGTGAAACCCCGTCTCTACTAAAAAATACAAAAATTAGCTGGGCTTGGTGGTGTGCGCCTGTAGTCCTAGCTACTAGGGAGGCTGAGGCAGAATTGCTTGAACGCAGGAGGCGGAGACTGCAGTGAGCTGAGATTACGCCACTGCACTCCAGCCTGGCTCCTGGCGACAGACTCTGTATCAAAAAATAAAAACGTTAAAGCTGATTTAATTATGCTAGGCTGCCTCCCTGCTGACAGGAAGTAGAACTACTTTTTTTTTTTTTTTTGAGTCAGGGTCTTACTCTGTCACCAGGCTGGAGTGCAATGGTGCAATCTCTGCTTATTGCAGCCTTTACCTCCCAGACTCAAAAACCATCCTCCCCTCAGCGTCCCATGTACTTGGGACTACAGGCATGTATCACCAGACCCAGCTAATTTTTGTAGAGATGGGTTTTCACCATGTTGCCCAAGCTGGCCTCGAACTCCTGGGCTCCTGCGATCTGCCTAGCTCAGCCTCCCAAAGTGCTAGGATTACAGGCAAGAGCCACCGCACCTGGCCTACTTTTCAAACATAGAAATGGGTTTTGACTGTATAGTCAAAGCACAGAAGGAGGTAAGTAATCCTAAAAAGCTGCTTGAAATAAGAATATAAATGGCCAGATAAAACAAACTGATCTCATACATTAATTTCTCCAATATAGAAATATAATAACTGCTGTTTTTAGACTGATACAAAATACCCAGTACAGAAAGGTAAGCATAAAGAAGTGTTCATTCTGTCTAGAGGACAATGTGGAAAAGGAAGTGTCCTTTCTGAATGACATGAATATATCAGTAATAATCTAGAAAACATAAAATGCTCTGTTCTGTGCTACCAGAGCTTGATGACAAACATCCCTTAAGATCACCTAAATGCCACTATTCTGACCAGATTCCACTTACAAAATAACTATCTGATCTTCATTAGCTTTCCCAAATAGAACTGAATAACGAT